GCAATTCTTAAGATATTGTGCTGTTTTTAATGGCTTTAATGTCTCTTAGCACTTGTCACCCAAACCATATTGACTCTTCATTGCAGATTCTAGCCTACCCCTGTTTACCTCACGGACAAATTATAAACTGGAAGTCCGAAATGGTGTCTGAGGGGGATAACACATCGATGCTCTCATAGTTCATGCTACAGCAAAACATTTGTTAGGGATTTAAAGTTGCTGCTTGTGTCACAGGATCACGGCTACCCTTAAGGGAAGGCTGTGGCTCCATATAGTAGAGAAAATGATTGTTTTCTGTGACAACACATTACCCAGACTGAAGTAAGAGTGGCACGTCGCAAGCCACAATAACAAAGTACAGTTTGCAACTCAAAAGTTCAAGGATGGACTTTCTTGTCAGGGATAACAGGAAGATGTTAGCACTGTCAGCTGGTTTGTCTGCAGTTGGCCAAAGCCTTGGCCCAATTAAGCACATTTTTTCTCTCTCTGATCAAGTTGACACTGACATTCAACCCAAAACAGACATGCTATCAGAAAATAAACAGCACAATGACCTCAATGAATTTGCATAGTCAAATTACTTGGATGTCAACCTGGCATTTATAGTTTGCATCTGATTTGCCCGTGTACAAACTTTATCTTTTTGTTGGCACAGAGCATGGCAATATATGTAAAATTCACTCAGGACATCTCACCCATGCTCAACACTCCCCTGAAGGCAAAGAAAAATAAATATACACTTCAGGGAAAACTGCACAGGGAAGTGTGATAACTGAAGTTCACGGTCTTCCACACCTCACTGAAATCATAGCAAAACACATGCACAGAATCACATGGATAAATTGTGTGGTTTTCTTCCTTCTTTCTTTGTCTACAGTCACAATGAAGCAAGAGATCAAGGCCGGGGTGGACTTCCTCAAACGAATGGCTGTGACACGTGGTAACTTAGATGGTGCCAAAGCAGAGTTGTTTGCAGAAAATCTTCAAAGACTTCTATGTGAAAAATACAAGGATCACTGGTACCCCGACTGTCCCAGCAAAGGCCAAGCATTTAGGTAATCATCGCTGTTTAAACATTTACACAGTGGTCAGTGAGTGACTTTTTCCTGCAAAGAAAGAAGGCACCTAACTTTTAATTCCTGAACTTTTCACAGATGCATTCGCATAAACAGAAGCATACCCTGTGATGAAGTGGTGTTGCAAGCCTGCAAAGAGACTAACATCATGCCCACCAGCCTGGGATTTCCATCTGAGATGACTCTGTGGATTGATCCACTGGAGGTGTCTGCAAGGTGAGTCACCGGGTGCCTGCAGAGGCAGACAAAGACGCAGCCATTTCTCAGTCTGTTCTGTTCTGAACGAGTGACAGTTGTGATGCAATATGTGAAACAACAAGTGCAAACTTGTAGGAAGTCACAGGCTGGAAAATGGATGGCATGACTTAAAAATCATTTACTCCCTTCTTCACAGATCCAAAGAGAACAACAGTCCCTTTAAAGTTGCTTCTTTCGACAAAGAGGAGAAAGAGGAGAATGAAGGGTGTGTGAAGGATGACCTGGATGTGTCCTCGCTGGACTCACTAAGCCAGGAGACTTCAGATTACCACTCTGCCACATCTTCGGATTGTGGTTCAGCTTCATCGAGTGACACGGAGGAGGAGGCGAAAGATGGGGATGTGCAGGGAGAAAAAGAAAAAGAAGGGCAGGTTGCTGAGAAGGGAAAGATGGATGATGAAAGCTGCAAAATAACCATGGTGCCCAGGATTCGAAAGCCACACGAAGATGGATCAAACAGGGTCAAATACCCAAGAAATATGGTACGTTTTTCTTGCTTTCTTTTCTTTTTGTTTTGTTTTCTTTTTGTTTTGTTTTCTTTTCTTTTCTTTTCTTTTAACAATCTGTTGGTCATTTATTTACCACAATGCTTCTTAGAGCAGTTATCTATGTGGCCAAACCTGTGCTTATGTTAGTAAAAGAAAGCACACCAGGGCTCGCAAAATCGCTAGCCCGACGGGGTATCATATAGCCAGACGGACGGGGCTGAGATAGATTTTGCGAGCCCTGCACACTAATTAACAATAGTGCTACAAGTAATGACTTCTTTGTTACAATGAACCTGAGTACAGTAGCCTAGTCAGAAAAACCCACATGCAGCATCCAGCTGCCACAAATATACACTTACAGATTCTCATCACATATCAGTTCAATTCAGTTTTATATAGCGCTTCATCAGCAGCAGTGATCAACATCTGTTGATCATCTCAAGGCAAACACCTACAATAATAAAGAGAAAACCCCAACAATTAGATGACCCCTCTTTAAGCAAGCACTTGGTGACAGTGGGAAGGAAAAACTCAGGAAACCTCTTTCCATACCTTTTGTAAATTTTTTTGGCTGGCCATTCATGAGGTCTTGTTGATGATGATTTCCAATAATGGAACGACCTCTGAGAGTTGAATGAGGTTTGAATGAGCTTTAAGGACTCTTGTCTACATAAAAGCTAATCCTAGCCTGCCTTTGTTGTGGTGTAGCAGATGTCTTAAGTTGTTGTGCTGGAAATCTGGTTGTCAATTCACACAGTTAGATCACTGCCTTAGCATTGCGTGACTATAAATCTGGGCAACTGAGCTACTGAATGCAAGATTTTTTTCCCTCTTAGTTAATTCACTTATTATATAGAATTAATGGCTTCAATAACCTATGCAGCTGAACATTTCTCTATGAAATAAGCGTGAGTTATCTGTGAATTATACGTTATCCAGTTTTAAGGATTTATGGCCTTGTTGTTAGCGACCGTATAGGTCCAGTGTTGTGATTCATTGGATTTGTTGTTGTTATAAGAAACTGGCTTTATTTCTTTTGGATTAACTGACTCACACTTTTTGCAATTTCTTCCTTTACACAAGTAAGATACATGAACAGCTATTTTTAGTTTCATTTGCAAGTTGTTGTTGATGTTAGCTGCTGCTATATTATTACAGTGTTATGTTTTGTTGTTGTGTGCTTTAGAAAGGATTCATCACATATGGAAAAAATGTGTCTGTTACCATCCTTTCAGATTTCACTCAATCCAATCTTTGTCTCTGTTCAGGTGCCTCCTAACCTTCAGGTCATCTACCACCCTACACCAGTGTGGCCTCAGTTCAAGAAGCATGCTCCAGTTTTCATCAGCACTGTGCCACCACCTCCAGCCCAGCAGGTCGTTGGATACTACGTTGTGCCGCGGACCTTTCCGCAGTTCATCATCCCTCAGGCTCCCCTGCAGCCATGGCGAGCAGGGAAGGAGTAGACCAATTGTGAACTATGGGGAGGGCAAGTTTGGGGGCATTATAAGCATTATAAGCTGAGCCGTCTGATGTCAGGCCTGAGTAGAGATCTACTTGGACCAAAAGGTTTAGCTGTACAGTTTAATTATTCCTTTCATAATCTGAAAAAAAACCCCTCTTTTGTTTCTTCATTTTTCTTTGTCAACGACGGCTATTACTCTGCACAGGGATACCCCACAGCTCAAGTGAAAACTGCTCTTTGAATCTGTTGTGTTTGCACTGCTGCTTTTGTATTGATGAACTGTACTCAACAAGAACAACATCAGTCACTGGGTGCTTGAAGTTGAACTCAGGAATTCTCAGCAATATGTTTAATGCCAAAAATATGTCTTTAAAAATTTTTTTTACCATCTGTAAATCTTTGCAGGGTGTAAAAGTCACAGTTAATCACTGTGAAATGTGATTCAGGGTTTTTAAACTACTGTAGCAATAGTGACAATATCTGTCTATTAAGTAGAAGAGGCTATTTTTTTACTAAGCTGCTTGTAAATATTACCACATCCGATGAGCACTTTATAATCGTATATTTGTTGTAATTTATTCAGCCACCAATGGATGGCAGTCAAGTCACATACAGTCAGTTTTATATATATATTTCAAACTTTGGTTTTAATTTAGAAACTTCACTTTTCCAAACGTGAACATGTTTATTTAATAGCTTAAACGCTCTCTGCTGTAATATACAGAACGCTTGTGTCACTGTCTTTTTCTTGTTTGTTTGTTTTCTAATTTGAAATGGGCTTGCTTACAAAGTCGTGACTTTTTTATTGTTCATTGCTTGCTATGAGGTCCTGCTACAGCTTTATAAACCATGAATTGTTACTTTTCATTTTTTATTTATTTACATTTCACGCTTACGCATTGATTGATTTTGTTCTTAGTTCTTGCTTGAGCCGCTTGTTTTATCGCAGAAGATTAATCCATGCAGTTTTTTCTGAAATCATTGTTCTGACATGAATCGTACTTTTCAGTAAAGTCTTTGCTGTTGCGTTTAAATCCTGTTTGTGTTTCTTCTTTTTTTATTCACTTGGCTGGGAAATCACCTGTATAAAGTGTATCCTCGGGCAGAACTCTCACTGCCGTCAGCGGAACAGCAGGATCTGGTTAGCGGAAGTACTCCAGTGCGTTGGATGCGTCACGTTGCCCAAGGTCATGACGCTGTGCCTCAGTTGAAAGGGTTTAGGAGAAAGGCTTTTTTTCTCACTTTTTGTGTAGTCTATGTGGGGACTTACCTGTGCAATTTAATAAATATGGAGACATCGAAATCAGAGGGCACAGTTACATGAATGTTTTCAAAATGACAAGAAAAACATTTTCAGGTAGAAATGGAATAGTGACAGCAAACGATGTTAGTGAACCCTGACTACTGCATTGAATATAACCTAGTGCAACTCATCCCCGCCACGGCTCTGTAGCTATTGTGAAACTTGCGCAGTCCAGGTTTCATTGCGTCAGAATCAACTTGAAAGATTAAAATAAAAGCACGGGGGTTACATAACTGAATTTCCATACATTTGCCGTTTGGCGTTTTCTCTCAATTAAAATAACAATGATTGGATTTTTTTTCTTACACATCATCAAATAAAGAAATGTACAAAAGTTTATGTCATTTCACTGCACCTGCAACCTTCCTGTGCTTCACTGCTAAGAGAGTGCGCCACGCACGTGACGAGCGCATCCACCCGCGCAAAAAGAAAGCGCTTATCAGACCAGCGCACACTCTTAAATAATAAGACATGCAAATAAGAGCGCAAAGTCCGCTGCAGTGTGGACAGTGTGACGGCGGTGCGCGCGAGCAGTGCGCGTAACCGCTCCGCACCGGTTGGGCTGGAGCGGTGATTGTGGAGAAGACCGGAGAGTTTTGGTAAACCCGCATCGTGGATGAGGAACGCAAGTGAGAAGGGCCTGCTACGCGACTCTGCCATCGGACTATGCCTTACCCAGCTCTGGAGGAGAGCAACAGGCAAAGCATAGGGCGGGAAAGCGCAAGGCGACAAGGAGAGGGGAGCAGGCGGGCGTCTCGTGTGCGCTCCGGAGATGGAGATGACAAACCGCAGCCTGCACGGCGACTCCAAAGTCGACTGCGTGAGCTGCGATGGCCTGATCAACCGAAACCGTGGGGACTCCGCAGACGTGTCGGTGCCACTGACACTCCCCGGGAAACGGACAGCTCACATGGAGGGAGACGACCTTTACAGACTCCGAGACAGAAAATTATTACTGGAAGATAAAAAGCGTCTGTGCGCGTGGACTCTGGGCACCGCTGTCTTTGGGATACTGCTCATGATAATCCACGCAGAAATATGTCCCTATGTTTACACCCCGGTAGGTTTAAGACACGAAACACGTCAGTGTCTTTCAGACATTATCTCCACACCGAAATGCACAGCTTACATTTGAAATTAAATTAAATGTTTAACCATAAAACTTTATCTTGTATAGTTCGCTACCTTCGTCATTTCTGTGTCAGCTGCCGCCTCTTATTATGTGGATTCATGTGAATATTTTTCTTAAAAGTTCTTAAAGCCCACGCTAGAAGTGATGTGACACATTGCTCTTTTGCGCATGTTGTAAAGCGTTTAAATGATAGCATCTTTAATGATAGCCACTTTGCATCTGCAAAGTTAGTCCTCCGCTTGTTCAGCCCTTCTCTGGAAAGAGCAGACAAAGCTCTGACAGCAACATTAAGCTCACTTTCTATTTTCAGGAGCTTACTTTTTTATTGTTTGCCCTTGGACTCATGCTCAAATGCTAAATGAACAAATGAACACTACTGCTTCTACCTTAATTCAGAGGAACTAAAGCCTGTAAAGACTTGTTCCACTGCTGGCAAGCAGCACCTCAAATCAATGTCAACCTTTTAATAATACACACCTAGATTTGATTTTTCTTAGAAGCACATTTCAGGACACAGCTTTTCATGACTAATTTCTTGGTTAACAAACAACACTAACCGCTTGCAGCTCAACAGCATAATCTGCACCTGGTGTTTGACCGTCCGTGACCCACTAATTAGTTAGTTCATTTCCAGACAGTCTATTTGGTAGCACAGACTCATGATATTAAGATGTAGATCTCAGTGGATAACAATGCCAGTCTACACAATCAGCGAATGATTGACCCCCCCCCCCCTCTCGCAGCACAGTTCCACATGTGGAAAAAAGTTACGACACGTGCTGCAGAACATCAGACCACATCCATGCTGTGAAGTCAAGTCAAGTCAAGTCAAGTTTATTTATAGAGCACATTTAAAAACAACCAAGGCTGACCAAAGTGCTGTACAGTAAATACAGATAAAAATACAATAGAACACAATTTCGTAGTAACACCTCGCTGATAAAAATAAAATAAAAATAAATAAAACAAATAAATTAAACCTTTCTAAAAGCCAATGAAAAGAGGTGAGTTTTAAGAGTCAGGGATTGATCATGCTGTCAGAGAGTCTCACATTTCTAATGCACACCAGGTACACCGCTCTGTCTGTTACATTCAATGAGGTTGACCTGGAGAAATTATGATGGTGAAACTAAATGTACTGGCATAAATATGAGTTCAGAATTTCAGTTTACAAACATGAACCAAGAACAGGTGCTGTTCAACTGCTCCTAACAGCAGGCATCGGCTTTGGTATGATGGAAATGCTGATGCACTGGAAAAGTGTTCTCTGCCCACAGTAAAAGCATATTATTTTGGAGAGGCTTCAGTTCTGATTTAACCATAGCTTATATAACTCATGCCAGGATTCATACTACTTTTTGTAACTTCATGCAGTGCCAAAGTCATGAATGTGAGCTGCACCATGGACTTTTTTGGGGGGGGGGTTATCACATAACAGCAGCGTTAATCAAACATAGCATCTATATCTTTCCCTGGAAGTGCACCATATAATATTATTTGTTTTTATGTCATTTTTATGTATGCTGCAGCATATATTTGGAGCGGCTCTATCAAAGTTAGCAATCGTCTACAAAGTTGTATTCAAGCAAACCTTTTTCGTGGTTATGCACAAAAACAAAGCTATTTATGGAACGTTTTTCCACATTTCACCTCTTCCCCTGCAGCATGATTGTTAACAGTACTTCAGGCGATCTTTCCACATCATTTAGTGTATAATTAGAGCGTTTGCATGGCTAGGCTAATGGTCTCTCTGTCTTGACTAAGGTTGTTCTAGTTGCCAGGGGGATGCACTTTGACTTGAATGTGACCTTGTGTCATCTTTTCTGCTGCTTTTTTAATTAACTGGCTTTTACAGTTTGAAACAATTTACATGCACCGAGACTGAAAATGTGAGCATTCGATCATTATTGCAGGCATTTGAGTGATTCTGAGACTACAGGTCAAAAAGAAAGTTTGTGACAGATTGGTCCGCCTGAACATAAATGGGAGATTTTTGTCTCATACAGAAAACATCATTTGGTAGACAGCCCATACATTTTTATAGCATCCTATTGTTGTATCAAACAGCACCTCTCACTAATCATTACTTTGCAGATTATATTTAAACTTAGTCAAAAGCATTCCATGTGCCAAGCAGGTGAAAGTCCTGATAATGAATGTCAATATCATTATCACAACTTTAACGTGGCTATATTTCATCCACTGACTACACAGACGTTTGTTTTTTAAACTCATCACAGCAAAATAATCAGCAGAAATGGATCATCTGATCAAAGGTCAAACAAAATGGGGAGAACATTTTTTTTGTCACACACGCAGGGCAGCCACATTTGGTATCCGTGTCCCAATCCCCATAGTGGAAATGACTTCTGTGTGAGCTTTGCTTTTGCTTGATATGGGTCAAAAATGATGTAAATCTTTCTCTTTTTGAATTTGACTTATGTAAATGTAGGCTGTGCAAGCCAGATGTGTGGGTGTGCTGCAAGTACTACACATCCTGTTCTTAGAAATGATGAGTTTAATGTTTCGGTGGTTGCTTTTCCTGTTTCACTTTTATGAATCTACATTGCCTGCAAAGTAGCTGCTGATAGCGAACATAGGTTTGCATGATTATGCCCTTTGCACTAAGAAACTTGGGAAGTCACTGGCATTCTTTGAAAATATGAGTACACAGCATGCGTATATCAACAGGATGAGCTGGTGGTGAGCTTGAGGCTTGGTAGGTATAATGTAGACATCGAATAAAGGAGGCAGCTTGATTAGGACGGATTTTGTTTTGTTTGCTGCTTCCCTTTATTGGGATGGTAGTTTGGAGGTTAGTACTGTTGCATTATGGCAACAAGGTCCTTGCTTCAGATCCAGGGTGGGCATGGGGTGGCTTTAAATTAACTATAGGTATAAATGTGAGCATGAGTGATTGTCTGCAACCCTGAACTGGACAAGTTGAAGAAGATAAATGGATGCTTCCCTTTCATTTGGTTGAAAGTTTTGGGGTAATTACTATTATTTCTTTAAACATTTGTTAGCAAATGATTTAATTTTTTCGCCTACTCTTGATTTAAGACTTACCCAGTAAACTCATATGGGTATATGGCACAACAGAGAGATTTCAATGTATATCACCAACCAGACAGCAGGAATGTAAAAAACAAAATGAGATGAAGAGGCAGTCAAAACAAAGCAGCATCTCTCTGACATTAAGAATGCAAGATTTTCTTCTTTTTTTTTTTACCTTTTCCACTACACTACTTTTGATCTTGTCTGATATTCTTTGTAAACCCACACTTAAATTTATTGCAGAGAATGTACATGAACGTTAATGAAACCACAGTGGCTAACAAACCAAACTCGAAAACTAAAGTCAGATGCATGTATTATTACTTTGGAAAGTATTTATTTATTACAAAACTCAACCCAGACCGCTGACTATTGCGCTAGATATAGTGTTTTGTTTTGTTTTTTTATATTGTTTTGCCATACCTTGGGTGGCCTGTTCTGGTGACACTGGATCCTCATTTGTCCAAGACCATCTGTCCAATTCTGTTAACCCAAAGTAGGTTAAACAGGAAAATGTTACAGAAATAATTTTAGAAACTCGGCACGAAACATGCTGTTGAGCTCTGTGTTATGGTGTGTGGTGAAATGTTGAGCTTTTGCGGGGTCTTCTAATTAGTGCTGGATGAATCACAGACGTGATGTGGATGCTACGGGAGAGACTGTGGAAAACAATGTACCTTGCCAATGGACGTCACACCATACCACCTACACACTCAACTCGCCTCAAGTTTGAAAGTTTGTAATTATCTTTTTGTCAGTAAAACCACACTGAACTATGCTTCTTGTGAAAAAGCAAAAAAGCTTCCACTAATACATCACCTGCACTGACATGTATGGCTCAGCATTATAGACAAATATAGGGCCTTTTAAAACTGCTGAGACCAAGGTGATTTGGTTTTTGATTCATCACGTGACACCGTCTCAATTTTACGATGGAGCAAAGCATTATGGTGTGAGTATCTGAGCCTGTAACTGCTTGTTCCGTGGAATGGAAAGTATTTAATTACAAGCACACATTACTTTAATTAAGTGGTTTTGTATGTATTTTTTGGAGTTCACTGTAGAATCAGTAACTCCTTTTTCATTAGGACTAATTACTGTAAATTATGTGAAGCTCATTTTGGAAAGAGTCAAAAAGTAGCCTGCAATTGTACTGTTATGTAACAGAAAGACAAAAATTGTTCAATATAATATATTATGGAAAGAGAAATTCCAACAATACATTCATCATAAACAAAAAGGGGGCTAATGTACATTTGAGAAAACATCAGATTGTAGAGACTGATTGGTGACCATGCAAAGTAACAGAAGTGCAGCCATTATTGGGCAGTAATAAAATACATGCAGTTTGGCTAGTAGCTTTTTGATTTGTTTTTACTATTTTGTAGTTGTGGATAGCATTTCGTGTTTTATAAAGTTGAATATCTTAGGTCTAGTATTATTTTTTAACCTGGTGAGTGAAATACTCCCATCTGGGCAGTTTCTGGAAGGCAGGTGTTTGACTGACAGCCATTGTATACAACAGCAAAATGGTTGTTCCTACTCTTTCCCAAGAATAGTGGGGAATTTTATTTTTTATGTTTGTTTTTGATCATTGAACAATTTGGCACTTTTTTCCAAACAAAGCAATTGATCGATCCCTCCACTGGCATGAAACCTTTTTTTTTAAAATTATACTTTGTGAATACAATCCTAATTCCGAAAAGGCTGGAATGTTGTGCAATATGTAAATAAAATCAGAATACAAAGACTATGAAACTTTTTTTTTTCATGAAAAATGTTACCTCGTTTTGAATTTGATGGCACATCTCAGAAAAGTTGGGATGCAGGCAACAAAAACAGCTGGAGGAGCATTTTGCAGCTAATTAGGTTAACCACTAACAAGTCAGTAACATGACTGGACATAAAACAAGTCTAATCTTAGAGAGGCACAGTTTTTCAGTAAATATGGGCAGTTGTCTACAAATCAAAAAAGAGTGGCTACAATGTTTTGAACATTTCAGAATAACGTTCCTCAACATAAAATTCTAAGGATGTTGAATATCTCATCATGTACAGCATGTACAGTCATCAAAAGAATGTGAGAATCTGGAGAAATATCTGTGCTTAAGGGACAGAGGATTCTATCTATCTATTGTTAATAAAATATCAGTTTATGAGATTTACAAATCATTACATTCGGTTTGTAGTTAAGTTTTACAGGGCCAATCTTGGAATGGGGGTTGTGTTTTATTATTATTTCTGTATTTTTTCCACTGTGATGGACTTATGACATGTCCTTCTGGTGTCCTGTGAGAGCTGCAATAGGTCCCAGGCTCCATTGCAAACCTGAGCTCTGCAAGCATTTAAGACAATATATTGATAGATTTTTTTTCAGATTTTTTTTCAGTGGATTCTTTAGTTTAGAAAGATGAAAGGATAAAATTTACAGTGTCACACAGCAGACCAAGACAAAGACGTGCGTTCTCTTCACAATGCCTCAGAATAAATGAATTTTCCTTAGATGAAACAAAGCCAATCCCCGTTTTGAAATCAAAAGAAAAATGTCATATACAGACTGCACCAAGGACAAACTTTTTTACTGCAAATGGAAGAATTTGACTCTACCTGAGGAGCATGTTAACAGTCTGGAACCCATACTGGCTAACAGTAACCATATGTAGCAAGTTTCTGTCCGTTGAGAGCTCTTATTGTGTCTTTTCTTTTTTCTTTTTTTTGTGCATATTTAGACCAAGAAGAAAAGAATGTTCTGATATATATTTATATATATATATATATATATATTAGATAATTAAAATATTGTGGTTAAAAGAAACATTACAGCAACTCCTTTTAAAAATTATTAGTTATTTATTTTTCATCTTTCATCCCTTTATGGTCTGGTTTGATGTAATTTCAGGATATTGTTTTTATTTTAGTGTGGATTTCTAGTAAAATGTTTTTTTTTTTATAAAACAGGTGGATGAAGGAACACTAAAACATAATTTCAGCAAATAATTTCTCATACTGTAGACTTAAGAAGTCACTTGGATGAGTGAAGAAACATTTCTCCCACTGAAAACGCTGTCCACATGAAAAGAATCCACTTATTGGGTTCTCATTCTCTAGGTTTTTTTTTTTTAATTAAACTTCATTCTGCACACTTAATACTCAACCTGGCCTGGACATGGTACCCCTGGCACACTGGTTTGTGTGCTGTGACATGTTTTTCAAAAAGCTGGTTTCCTATTTACACTTTGGCATAATCAGATTGTTTGTTGTGGGTTTTCACGCTTTTTGAAAAAAACTGACCTGATTTCCGTGTCATTTAAATATAATTGATAAAGACAGGAGAGTTTAATGCACTAACATTGCATATCAATCAATCAAAGCTTTATTCGTCACATGCAGGTTGCCCTGCAGTGAAATGGGAACCCCCCCCAAACTTACACATATAGCACAAACATTAAATGAGGAAACAGGGCGGAGAATGGTAGAATCTTGAAAAAACATTGAAATGTACACTACAGTGCGGAAACTACAAGATGAAAAAAGAGACCCCTACTCATGCTATGCTTCCATGTTAGGACAACATGAGAACAGGAAACAAAAAAATTCCTCTGCACAAAAAAGCACATAAATGTCCACAGCACAACATTGTGAAGACATGACAAGCCACAGGGGTGGGTGGGGGGTGAGGAGTAATCCGAAGCGAACACAGCAGCCGCCCTGCACAGCGCTACCATTCCAGCGCGGCACACAGACCCGCCGTGTTCCCTCGCAGGAAACAAGCATCGAAGGCGTTGGAAAGGGAGGGGGGATGAGTGAGTGCCTATCAGTGTAAGTGTATGTGTGTGTCCATAGTTCAGCTGAGATATATGTTATTAATGATATAAATCAATGGGGTAAAAGAAGAAATCAAAGATATATTTGGTGTGTGTGTGTCTGAGAGAGCGTATATTCATATGTCTTGATGCATTCTCAATCATCCAGGTAAGTAAATCTCCAAAAGTTGATTCTGTTGAACAGATGAACAGAATCAACTTTTGGAGACGTGTGTGTGTGTGTGTACTTACTTTAAAAAAGACTTCTTATTATGGACAGTGGGTGCCGTCATATTGCCTGCTCAGGCTCCTCAGAAGCTGATAGAGTATGTCCTAATTTGAGCGTTCACCTTCCTGCTCCGCTATCTGGCCTTCCTCCACCTCATCTCCTGATAGCTCTAATCTGACTCTCCTTCCACAATTCTGAGTTTAATCTTTTCTGTCTCTCCCTGCCCTCTTCTTCCTGAAATAGGCTGAAAATATGAGGTAGTAAGTCCTGCTGTCCACTTCAAAGGAAACTAAACAAAATGCTTTGTTTCAGAAGAGATAATATCACTGGGCATGAAATGATTTCATTTATGGGAGTAGAATCACAATATCTGCAAAAAATGATCACTTAATCTCCCTTGTGGTCATAAAATGTAGAAGCTGCAATTCCTGTTATTTTGAAAAGAAAGTCCATTTGCTCTGTTTGCCAAACAGACACAAATATAGCATCAATAGAAAGTGCATTATGTCCTCTTGACATTGCAGCAGGACTCGTATAGATTGCATAAATGGCCTTTGACGTAGAAGTCAAGTACTTGATTTGCATGTAAGTGTTTTCGCTCAGTGCTACAGAAGGGACTAGCAGCTATCCAGTTCTTGGACTATATCAAACCTTGATATATGAAAACATGAAAAGCAGTGAAATTTTAGACATTGCAGAAGAACAGCTGTGTTTTCATCACTCACGGTTCTGTTTTCTCTAACTCTATCTGTTTTCTTCTCAGGGCTCAAACATTGCATTGATCATCAACTGCTCCATCAGCCTGTCAACTGGGTGTCTTCTGATCCTCATTATAGCTTTCCATTATAAGGACATCCAGGTGAGTATGCTTTTTATGTTTTTTGGCGTCGCTTATTGAACTATTACTTATTGTAATTCAATGTAACTCAGCATTAGTTTGGTTAAAATTCAATTTTTTTAGAGATACTTAAAGGCAGCTTTTTAAAAAGCCCCTCTCAGGCCATGTCTGGTAGCCTCAACACTGATTGTCTGTGATATTTGCTGCATGCAGGAAAACCCCAAATAAAAATCTCAGCCCACACAGGCATGCGCAATATTGCAGCTGTAATGTTTTTCCAGTCTACGTGGCTTGCTGCCGATTTGTGTGGGAATTTAATATACATGAAGGGATTTGGTTGAAATTAAACAGAGTAAACATTCTTTCATTTCCCCTCTTGCACAGTCACAGCATGCATGTTTAAGAGTGGTAACAACAACAAGTACAGAAAGAACTGTGTGTCTGTTTTGTAACAGTTTCTTTCATTTTTGCCTGCTGGGTTTGTATTCTTACCTACAGAGTGTTTAGTTTGGTCATAAGTCGCGTGTATCTGATACAAGAGGGGTACTGTCCAAGTGTGTAGAGGAGATAAGGAAGGACAGGCTTAGGGTGGGGACTGATATAGAGACAGTGTGCAGTGATGCATGATGTAACTGGTGTCAGAAGTGGCAGGCTAAATCATTCAGACCGTCTCAAAGTGTCTTAGTTGGTGGATTAAAGACAAAGTAATAATTAACAAAATGATGAAAGAGGAAGTTCTAAGAATGTCCCTGCTTCACTTTCTTAAACAAAATAAAGCTGCAGATTGAAGAAGTGGAAATATCTGAGTCACAATTTCAATACACATTCATAGTTTATCTCACAGGCTTCTGTCAAATATTTCTGGTTCAAATCTTTAGCGGGCCAAAAATAATTTTCTTATCATTTCCCTTTTAGCACAGCCCAACTATCGTTTACTTGCAATCTTTCCCGCTTATAATGCAAAGTATGCATGTCGTAGTAATCCACATAATGAGATTATACTATGCGTATCCCAAAGTATTTTGTTCTTTCTAACAACTTTTTATTCCCCATCATAACTTTGCTGAGGCAATTGATAGAAATGGAAGTCATATAGTTGAAAACACATCAGCAAAATGAAAGCACCCTGCTAATGTCATTAGCAAATATTGTAGGCAAATTCAATTCAGTTTAGTTTTATTCATATAGCACCAAATTATAACAGCAGTCACCCTCAAGTGCTTTATATTCTAAGATAAAGGCACTTTCATAATACACAGAAACCACAACAATTGGGCGACCACTTGTGAGCAAGCACTTGGCGACAGTGGGAAGAAAAAACTCCCTTTAAAACAGGAAGAAACCACCGGCAGAACCAGGCAGAAGAGAAAAGAAGAAAAAAAACAGACTGTGGAAGACAGCCAGAGATGAACAGTAACTAATGCTAACTAATGATTAAATGCAAAGTGATGAATAAACATATAGTAAGTGAAATAAAAATGGAAGATGAAGCTAATGACAGAAGCTTTGGAGAAAAAACATCACAGATTTTATTTACACCATATTTACATACCATCATTACATTAATTGCATATCATATCCACAGTATGAGAAGAAGATGCAACTGTAATGTTATTGTCTTCCATCTCCAACTGCACTTTGATCAAATTCCTTTCTATTTCTACTCTTTACTGTCCTCCCTCATCCCTCAGCTGTTCATCATTGACCACAACCAGGTGGACTGGCGTATCGCCATGACCAGCCACAGGATTATTGTCATCACCCTGGAGCTGTTAGTTTGTGTTATCCATCCTGTTGGATCATACTGGGGGGTGGGCCTCCATGTGAACTCCTCTTCCACCGTTCCCACTCCATCTCCACTGTGTGTTTCCAGCCACCATGGCGAGACCCTGATGGACATGGAGCTGCTGTTATCAGTGCTGATGTTCCTCCGCTTGTACTTGGTGCACAGAGCCATCTTGCTGCACAGCAAAGTGCTGCTGAGTGCCTCCTACAGGAGCATAGGCTCACTCAACAATATCAACTTCACCTTTCGCTTTGTTCTCAAGGTACTGATGAACAAACACCCAGCACGCATGCTGCTAGTCTTCATCCTGTTCTTCTGGCTCACTGTGTCCTGGATGCTTACACTGTGTGAGAGGTATGAAGCACAACTGAGACTTTGTGTAATCAAACTGATTCATAATCGCATTAAACTGATTTTTCATTTGCACGAATGCAGGCATTACAATAACAAACCAAAGATTTTCAATGACAAAATGAAAGTTTTCTCATAAAAAAAAAAAAAAATTAATTAGCTCTTTTTCTTAATCTCTCTTCCATCTTCACCCAGTTGTCAACTGACTATTATACACAGAAACACCAAAATGCTCTCCAGTAGTTTAACATTCCTCTTCAGGGTTTGATAGTCAGTTTGACTTTCTGGTTCAAGATGGATTTCCAATAAATGATTTCATAATTCTCCCCTAACAAAATTCTTTTTGACGTCTGCCAGCTAAATGTCAGCCTGATCCTCTGCAATCTGCCTGGCTGTTTAAACAGCGTGAGGTCATTTGTTCGTTTGAACCTTAATGGGAGGTTTGCCTTCAGTTTTCCACTTCTTTCTCGCATTCGTGTATATTTTGACATTTTGATTTGTCAGAAGTAATAAAAGAGCTTATTACTGACAGCAGATAATTTCACCAAATCTGTCAACACGCAACCATTATGCTAGCTGATTACTAGATCCGTGAGCCAGACGGATAAAATGATATGTTATCTAGCTGTGAGGCTTCAGCAAAGTTTATATTGGGCTTGTACTTTTGATGTTTTACAAGTTTATACTGGTTTCGACTTCCCGAACTCCTGAGTGCTGTAAAAAAATCTGCACTGATAAGGCGGTTTGATTAGTACGCCACACCTTCATCAAACAGACTGTGTTTGAGATGTTAAGAAACAAAATGAAGAACCTCAGAGAGTCAGGGAGAGTGTCACAAATAAACTTATGCATTGCATCACTTCAGCTCTTAATTGTATTTGGTGATTCACTGAAATAGTTAAATATAAGAAGGGATTTAGCCTGTAACTGTATCTATAAACAGGTTTCTGGATTAGACTGATATTAGTCAGAATTATCAGCTGCTACTTATACTTATACTCCAGAGCAGTTGTTGAATAGGATTAGAGAACTAATCCTATTCAACAACTGATATTAGAAAACAAACAAAGAAACAACCATACATACAAAAAAAAAAAAAGTTTTCTATCTCATACAGTTTCACAACTGGGGGGTGGGGTTAATTGTGGTAATGTTTATTTTTTAACTCAACTAATACCTCTTTATAATATGTTTCATTACACTTCAGTCTCAGTGCTACGTTGTTTCCCCTGCAGGCAGACCAAAGAATCAACAGGCCATATGGATACAGCGCTGTGGCTCATAGCCATCACCTTCCTCACAGTTGGCTATGGGGATGTGGCACCCAAAACCAACTGTGGCAAGGCAGTGTGTCTCTTCACTGGAGTCATGGTAACTAAGCTGATTTGAGAAAATGTAGTACTGAAAATGATTTTAGATTCACATAAAAACTAAGGGCATACTGAATAAAATAAAACACACAATGCTTGTTCTTCATCAAATGATTGTTTTGGCCTTGTATCAGACAGTGTATGAAAAAGGGAAAAGTGTAGCATCTTTAGCATAGCATCTTTATTTTTAATGCACTTTACATCCAACAATGTTGGCCAAAGTGCTACAGTCTTTTTAAGACTGTAGCAGGATGTTCACAGCTTTCATTATCTCCCTGATTACTTTAATATGTTTTTTCAGCCCAATGATGGCCTCCTGTTTGCTGTTTACAGGAAGCATTCAGCAAATGCAAATTCAACAATTTGAATCAATTTCAAATCTGTTATCTGCTTATTTTGTCATGGAATAAAAAGGAAAAAGACCTAATTCATCTGAAACTACTTGGCATTCAATTTTCCAATTATTTTTGAGCCTCTGAAAATTAGGGAATGCGTATATTGTAATTCTTAAATTCCTTAATTGAATACTTTTGTTATACTCCTAAAAGTTTGTACTTCAGTTGCATCTTGACTGTTTGAATCAAAGTCCTTTGTGGTGATGTATGGAGACAAAATGATAAAAACTGTCTCACTGTACAAACTGTTATCTCCTTACAGTAGCTGTGAGACAAAAACCCTCAATTCAATAGGGAGGCACAGGGAGTGGAGTTTTTTTAATCTTTGCTTTGCTTGTCTTTGTTACCACTGAAACCACCCGACACACTTTTGAGTGCAAAAACAGACAATAACACACAAAACCAAGAGCTTCTGTCACTGTTTTCACTTTGTCACACTATGTTGTCTCTAAATAGGTTGAATTTTCTGTTATCTTCCATTTTGTTCCATTTCTTCTCTGTTCTGTCACACTGTATTACATGTTGATTTCATGGATAGCATGAAATCAACATGCTATCCATGTTGATTTCACTGGAGGACTTTCTTTTGCGCAATTGATTTCATTCCTGTACTGTGATCTATTAGCATCTTTTATCGTCTGCTAGGGTTTATTATGTTTTATCGAATCCCTTCTCCGTGTATTTTAGCGTCATTTGTTCTACTTCATTCTACCTTCTCACCCTTAATGTTCTGTTCCACGTGTTTGTTTCATTCCCTTCTGTTCCACTGCAACAACTATTCATCCATTTTCCTATTTCATTTTTCCTTTTTCATTTTCAGGTCAGTTCAGTTTGGTTCAGTTCACTTCTCCGCTGTTTGCAATCCAGCCTATTCTGCACTGTTCCACTAGTTATCTTTGATACCTTAAATTCTTCTTGCTTGAATGCCTTCCTTCCCTTGTGTGTGTGTGTGTGATTTCGATTGCAGCTGTAAGTTGACACAGTGTACTTCTGCAAGACCTTGATATTACCAGGCGCTCACATGAAAAGACTGAGGGAGGGAAGCTGTCAGCATGCAGTGTACCCTGTGCAGTTGCACAAAGATCTATGTGAAGTGTGATGGCTCTGCTGAGTGTGCCATAGTGTCTCAGAGAATTACAGCCAGGTTTAAGGTTTTTCATGTGTAAAAGAGCAAAAAAGGACATATATGAACATCTTAAAGTGAGATGTTTTTCTTAAAACAAGTTAGTTTTTTATGTTAATGCAAAAATGTTGGTAAGTGAAGACTGAAAAAAAGCTGGAGGGAAAGGTCAAGTGAGGGCAAGCAAGGAGTGGCTCCGTGTTTGAAATGGCAACACATTTTGCTGCTGCCTTGAATTCTGGTACAAGCAGATAAGAATCTCGGCCATGGCTCTGGATGTGGGCACAAGTCCGGTTTAGACACCTCTGTGACAGAGTGGAAAACAGTTCTCCCAATCTTTCCCTCTCTCTTTCTCCATCTCCCTTGTTTTCATTACGTTCCCCCCTTATAAGGCAAAACTTTCCACCATATCCATTTTAGGTGGTTTATTGCCTTTGGCACCACTACAACAGGAGGGTGTGCCAACCTGTGCCCAGGGTTTGGAAAAAAATAGATTTCCCACTCCCATCAGGGCAGCTCTGGGAGCTAGAAACTTGGGGTGATACTCACACCTGTAATATGGTTGAAAGCCTCAATGTTCAGCACTTTGGCCTCTGTCCAGCTATAACTCAATTTGCAGCTGTTTTAAGGAGTTGACACCACTTTTTGCATCCCATCCCTGTGTGAGGATGGATCCAAGGAAAGAGTTTGTACCTCCCAGGTTTAGCAGACGATGTAATGATAGATATTTTGTGGCTGGTGGAATGAAGGATAAATATATCTTTCAGAACTCTGGCTCAAGCTTTATTGCTCATGCTTGGTCTTTCTCTCTCTCTCTCTCTCTCCTCTCTTTCTAATGCAAGCTGAAAAGTGGAAAACAGGTAAAAACTGGTTAACTTTTATCTTTATTCGTAATGGATATGAGTGCAGTGTTTTGTCTCTGTCTCCACTGATACATCTTTTTATAGATGTGGATGTGTTTTGCTTTGAGACCCATTCGAATATTCACCATCATTCTGTATTTCCCTATCCAGGAATAGCGCTAAGCTATTCTCAGAGGAAACCCACACTATTTTAGTGCCACTGAGGCCCGTCTAAGCATTGAACTTTTTGTGTAAATTTAGTTTTGATTTATTAGATGGAAGTACGAGGATCAACACTGAGTTTTCTGAAGAAGTTCTTTCCTTAGAGGGTAATGGACACGTAAAAAGACACGCTGGCCGCTGTCATTGAGCTTAACTTGCAAATTCAGGCTCATCAGTTTTGTCTCAGTATTCTGGATCAGTCTTACATAATCGTTGACAATCTGTTGAGACGACAACAAAAATACTAAAAGCTCTGTGTGTCTTGGGTTTTAGGGTGTTGCCTGCACCGCCATGCTGGTTGCAATCGTTACAGAGAAGCTGGCGCTGAACAAAGGAGAGAAACATGTGCACTTCTTCATGATGGATATCCAGATTTCTAAAAGGGTAAGAGCATGCAACAATTTTCTGCAAACCTGTATAAACACACAGTAATCAGCCGGCATGCCTTTTTTTTTATCAAGTTCTTTCTTTTTTTGTTTTTTTCATTGCTTCCATTTGAAATATTCTGTAGTGGGTCATGTGACATTTGCATGTATGGGTCTTTTCCTGCTTATTATTCTTTTACTTCAAAGTTGATATTTGTGGTTTTGCTTGTTTTCCCCCTGGAATCGCTGCAAATCATATATCCTTTGGGCTACATGAAGTAGGTGTCCGGACAGCTATCGGTAACTGTTCATACCCACATTCAGTGTGCAGATTTGAGAACCATTTAATTTAGATAATCCCTCACAATGAACACCATGTCCGTGTTTGTTGCTGTCAGAGTCAATGGGACAATGTGTGGTAATGCAGTTGTAAGAACAGAGCAACTGGAAGTCTGTGCTGCATTGCCACACAGCATTGATACAACAAACTAATACACTTTGGTATGCTTTGTATACTTGGTATTCTGGGCAATAAAAAGGAACCCACAAGAAAAGGAGAATTTGAGTTTTTATGGTTCAGAATTCTGTGAAAGTTTAAAGAAAATATTGTTTACTAATAGCTAAATATAAATGACATCAACAGCTCTCTTGTCCAACAAAAAATAATCTTGATAACAATTTATGTTAATATAAAAGTGTAACACATACATTTTCTGAGCTGTGTTGAAGTTCTCATAAATAGTGGCTCTAATTTTTGTAGCATTTGCATGAAAATTTTTGTGCAACAATCCAATAAACATGTTGTAACCATCAATTACCTTCCCTCCCATCACTGGTAGCTGCAGTGTTGTAAGCCAAACAAGAGACAGGATAAAACGGATAGAGATGTCAGGATGGATGAGTCACTGCTTTCCATGTTGCATGCACGCTTTGGTGTTTGATTCCTTTACTACAGGATTGTGTGGGAAAAGAGAAGGGAGAACTTCCGGGCTCTTGATGTCCTTTTCAAGGCGTCAAACAGAGGAAATAATCTTATCTCTGTCAGGAAAGAAACTTGTGTCACTTCAGGCCTGTGCAGCAGCGGGCAGGAAACTGCTGACGCGTGTGTTTTGCTTTTAAGGGTGTCTGAAAGTAAGTAGGAGAGGAGTGTGGTTGCAAGTGTCTGCTTGTTGATGGGAAAAAGGGAAGTTACAAGAAATCATTTTCAGTGTCTTGGTAATACGCAAAAATGTGTAATGACTGACAGATTGTGCAGGCTTGGTTTAAAGCTGTGTTTTGTATAAAGCAGTACAGCTCCCCCCCAAACCGTGTAGCAATGTCTGACTGAAGTAGAAGCACTGCTTTGGAGGATACAACCATTTCCTCTCTCCTGGTGGCTGCATCCTGTCACAAGGTGCATCTTTATGCCTCGCTTTTGGTTGTTTTGGTTTGTGTGTGTGCATGTGCATGCATCCTCCTGAGCTTACTGGTGCAGTCCAGATTTACACTGATGGGAACAAGGGAAGACATCTGGATGCAAAACACTGACAACCTCTATTAATAACCCTCACAACAAGGTCGTAATGACATCATCACAGGGTAGTTACAGTGATTTGAGCAGGAAGGTAAACAGACATGAATAGAATCAAAGAAAAAACAAAACAAAACAGGAGAATACAAGCGAAATCTAGAAATCTCAAGTTCCTAGTTTAGCCGTTATGGCCTGTTTTATAAATATCTGTATATAATAATAATAATGGATTGGATTTATATAGCGCTTTTCAAGGCACCCAAAGCGCTTTACAATGCCACTATTCATTCACTCTCACATTCATACACTGGTGGAGGCAGCTACAGTTGTAGCCACAGCTGCCCTGGGGCAGACTGACAGAAGCGAGGCTGCCATATCGCGCCATCGGCCCCTCTGGCCAAGACCAGTAGGCAAGTAGGGTAAAGTGTCTTGCCCAGGGACACAACGACCAGGACAGAGAGCCCTGGGATCGAACCGGCGACCTTCCGGTTACAGATGCGATTCCCAACCCCCTGAGCCACGGTCGACTCACTGACCATAACAGCCACTATCTGAAAACAGCATCATTGTACAAAAGGGTGGAACAGGAAAGGCTATCTGGATTTCATCAGCTGGCCTGGACGATGTGTGCTGTACTAAAATCTTTAAAAGTTAACAGTTAGCGGCTCTGCACGAATTTTATCAGTCGAACATCCAAAGTTGATCGATATGTGCTGTCACCACATTTCTGTATGTTTAAGCAGTCAGTTCAAATGTTTCTTTTCCCAGATCCGCCATGCTGCTGCTAATGTGCTAAGAGAATGCTGGCTTCTTCATCGTGCAAACGTGACAAAGGGCAACCGCGGTGAGCACAGAAAACACCAGAGATGCCTTCTGGAAGCCATCAGAGTGTGAGTTACTGTATTGCAAAATAATACCTTCAGGCGGGGTGTCTGCGTGCGTGTTTCAGTCTGTGTGAGGGGTGTACAGTATGTGGGTGGTGGTTTGTGTGCCTTACATGTGTATTTTATGGGTCATTAACTAATTGTCAACATGCTCGGAGTCACCAATTTAAAGATGCTAATTTAGATTACTAATTAGATTTGTTTGCCTCTTTTATGTGGACAGGATATGTGTGAACAAGTGTCTGTTCTTCCTGGCAAGTAAATAAATAAAAGGCCCCTTTTTTAAATGATTATTTGAAGTTTTTGACAATAACTGACAACTATTGTGCAAACCTTTCGGGAGATACTTTTAAGAAGAATCGCTTTTTTTCCTCCATAAATTGTGTCTGCTTGTAATTGAACAAGTTTCTCTTCTAAGAACAAGTGGATTACACAAGACAGGATGTCCGAAACGCTGATCATGTGGTACATTATCCTGACAACAGCAATACATGTGTGAGAATATGTCAGCCTGTGTGAACGGGGTCGTACTTCCTGCTTTGAACTGTTCTAAACTATTATAAATAAACCCTGTGTGGAAAGTGTGAGAAGAAGGCCCCTCTCTACTTTAAGAGTTACAGTATATACTGTAATGAGACCCTTCTGCGGTCTTTGACCAGGTGCTTGATTGCAAAATTGGTTTTCATATGTCTTTGTTAGCTGATTGTCTGGATTGTCTATTGAAGGAACTAAATTTAGTAATGTTTCATAGCATTTCAACAAACTCAGCGGGGCTCCTTTAATACTGAGTTATTGAATACCTGATTGTCAGAATATTCCTCAAATCAGAGTTTCTGTAAGTGTTTTATCTCAGTGTAGTCACTCATATTGGGCGATCAACACTTCACAGCATTTATTTTCTTTACATTCCTGTGCCTCAGGATAGCATTTAAAATAAGGTCTAATAAAATACAGTTTGAATTTTTCCACGTGTCTCAAAAATCACATTTACAGTTGTTGGGTTTTTTTTAACTTCACAGATTTCGGCATTTACGCCTTAAACAAAGAAAACTAAGAGATTACGTCAGTGAGATGGTGGATCTCCCAAAGGTAAATAACAGCACATCTGATTCACTGTAAAACTCCATTTATTTACACTTACAGGCCATTACATTTGGTATACATGTTCAGTCGCTCTGTAATGCAGATCTCTAATCAGCCAATCACCTAACAGCTACTCAGTGCATTTAGGCTTGTACGTCAGGTCCAGGCGACCGGCTGAAATTCACACCAAGCATCAGAATGGGGAAGAAAGGTGATTTAAGTGACTTTAAAACAGGGTTGTTGATGCCATACCGGCTAGTCTACATATTTCACAAATCTGCTGTGATTTTCCCACACAGTCATGTCTAGGGTTTTCAGAGAATGCTCTGAAAAAAGGAAATATCCAGTGACCACCAGTTCCCTGGCCACTAACTCCTTGTTGATGTCAAAGAAGACTGAGCAGACTGGCAACAGTAACTCAAATCTCAAATAACCACTTTTTACAACCAAGCTATGCAGAAGAGCATCTATGAAAGCACAGCATGTTTAACCTTGAAGCAGATGTGCTACAGTAACAGAAGACCACACTGGGAGTGACATTTGCCAGCTATGAGGAGGAATCCGAAATTAAATATTGCTGTTTGGGGTTTCTTAGATAGAGCAGATAAATGCATACAAAAAAAACTGGATGATGAGATTTTAATTTGTCAGAAGTGAACAGGCACAGAAAAGGTTTCCATGAGGAAAAAACACATTAAAAAGACATCACCTAGTGAGAGTCACAAATGTAATTCTGGAGCGCTGTAATTGCTGGAATTATATGAAAATGTGCCCAGTTTCACTAAATAAGCCGTTCTATGGTTACCTTACAGTCAGTTACGGTCTAACAATCTACTCCTGCTTACTGACTGAGTGCAGCTGAGCCGCAGCATAAAAAACAAACAGCTTCAAACAAAACAAAAAGCGATCCAAATGTTTTTGTCTGATTCCCTCAAAATCACTGTCAATCAGTCAGTAATCCACATAAACTCTCCAACATACTTTTAAAATGTATCTGCACAGAGTTCAGTAACGTTAGACTTTTGGTTCTAGTTTGAACTCCAAGTGTGTTTTCTTTTCAAAGCCAAAATATTTGTGTTGTGTGGTGGATTTCAACAGATGCAGATGATTATGTGCGACCTCAGTGCCAACTGGAATAACTCCTATCGGGAGCTGGAGCAGCGAATCCTCTCCATGGAGCAGAAGCTGGACGAGCTGAGTCGCTGCTTCCAACAAACGTCTGATCTGCTGTCTCAGGTTGTACGTCACCGCAACCCAGAGATCAGGTAAACAATACTTACAGATGCCAGTGTCCCTGCACAGATCTGCTAAAAAACACACTGTAGGATGTCATATATCATACGTATATTCACTTTGGAGAATAACAAAATTATTTTGTTGGGTTTTTTTTGTAGGTGACACGACTGCACGCAGTTGTTAAAAACAGTCCGTAGTGTTTTCATCTGAAGTATCCACGAATCCTCTCCAACCAGAGCTGCTTTAGACTCTTAACATGCTGAACCACTTGGAGGACTGGCATACTCACTAAAGATCATCTTTTGGCCCCATTCTGAGTGTACTGCACAGTGACTCACTGCTGTTAAATTATACAGATAAAATAAGACCTAAATTCACTGCTGGGAAATCCGAGTGCATTTTCAGGAAATCTGCTGGGTTTTCAAGCAAAAGGATTGGTGACAGAGCCCAAGAACTAACCTGATCTCAGTCAAGGACTGTGGAGGATCCTTTAATCTGCAATAACAACAGATCTGTAAACTTCTATTTTCAAGATATTATTGATGCTCTACATTCCTAGCTTATTCCTGTGGAATAAGCCATTTTGCATGTTTTAATTTTTGCAGTATTTCAGTGTTAATCCAACCATTTTCCATCATCTGAGACACACGGTGTCTCAATAATTCATCACTGTTGTGCTCTCCTGTAGCCGTTTAAGTAAATCTTGAATGAAAATGTGTTTAACGGTAATAGACTTTGGTGAGTGAAGAGAATGAAGTGAATGTCAAATTAAACTTGATGAAAAGAAAGTTTTATTGCAAACTCTAAGTCGAAGGGACCCCATGACTATTAACTGAAACTTGCAGACTTGCGTCGGCCACAGTTTGACGGAAGAAAAAAAAAAAAAAAACATCCAACACTTTACACCTGTTGAAAATAAAGAAACTTCAGTGGCCTTATAAGCTCATCTTTTAGCAATCCAACTGCTCCATCTAGTGGACAATATTAAAACACACAACAATAATCATAATAATAAAAACTACACGACTTTCTTCCAGATAATTTCGGATTCTTCAGCATCTCAAAGGAGCATAACATTTTCAGCTGTATTAAAACAGAAAACAAGATTTAATCAAACCTCTGTACAAATGTCACTAATAAGAAAGCACTTTGTGAGAACAGCTGCAAAACTAGACCAACTCTCTCTCTCTCTCTCTGGAGGATTAACTGGAGTTTTGTTTAAACTTAATCCAGTGCTGGAAAAAAAAGCCTCCTTGTTGGCTACCTTTTTTTTTTTTTTCATTTTATTTTATTTTTTTAAACTCCGGTAGTTAGTGTAGCAGCAGAAAAATGTATGAGAAACTAAATATGTAACATTTGCACATGGTAAAAACATGTTAATAACCATCTAAAACATGCTTATAATTCAAAGTCATTTAGAATGAGTGTGTTTATGTTTTTGCTTTATTTCTGTCACTGGAGGACACATGAATTAAACAGACTGGTAACAAGCAGGTGTCATGTGTGGCATATCTATTTTGATTTGTTGCTTGAAGAAATAAAAACTGATCTATTCGTACTTCTGTCACACTGTAGGCTTCTTCGGTTTGTTACTTGTCCTGTTTTTAAGCTGGTGCCATATGTATGCTGAAGGCCTGGGAAACAGTTCTCCGCAGTCACACGTGAAGGGCATTCTGCATGTTCTCTTGACTTTTCTTTTCCACGTGCAGCCAGAGGGAGATTTTTTTGGAGACCCGCCCTTCAGGTGCTGCGCCAGGAGTTTAGCTCCTGTGAAAGTGTCCCCACAGCTAACACAGATGTAGCTTATGGCCTCCGCGTGCTGAATACAGTGTCTCAGGAGGTGCAGCCTGTGTTTAAAAGCTCGTCCGCATGGGCACTTGTGCGACCGGCGGCCTCGGTGGAGGTACCGGTGGCTGATGATGAGCGAGGGCTGCCGCAGGACAGCGCCGCACTGCCTGCAAGGGTAAGGCACCTTGGAGCGCCAGCTGCTGTTCATGCGTTTCATCAAAGCCAAGCGATGGCTGTCATTCTCAAACATGGCTAGGATGGTTGGCATTGGTTGTGAGGGGGGGTTAAAGAGCGCACCCTCTTGGTATGTGTCCCGGGGTCTTGAAAGCACAGGAAAAGGGGAATGAAGGTTACTTGAAGGCGGTTGGTTTGGCTGAGCTAGGGCACCATTTGTCCCTGACGTTTGGCCATCACTGTGTGTTCCATTAATGGCCTTGCTCACGAACTTGGTTGACTGCAGCTGGATTTTTGTGCTCTGGGCTCCTCGGTTATCCTTTGCCAACAGTGATGGAGTAGTAACAGTGCACGCCTTGGTGCTGACCACTGACGTGTGAACTTTGGTTACGTGCTCTACTAAATATTTCTCAGAGGTAAAAAGGAATTTGCATATGTTGCATGCTTTCGGCATTGACTCAGAGCAGAAAAGCACCAAAGGTGATTTTCTCCCTTTGGGACACTGGTGGCTATAGTACAAGTTTTTGTGACTGAAAACTTGGCCACAGATGTCACAGGCATACAGAGCCAAGTGGTGTTTCTTAACAGCACTCTCAGTTAGAAAGGCCTTCTTGCACAGAAAGCATTGATATTTTACTCTTACGCCACTGCAGTGCAGCAAGTGGAGCTTAATTGACTTAAACGGACCTCTGCCGCACACAGTGCACATTACACTATTGGCAGCAGGAAAGGGTGCACATGTCGTTTGGGAATCTGGACAGTCTGAAAAATGACCAGAATCATTGGGAAAACTGGAGTTGGAGCGACCATTTGTTTCAGAGTGATCTGGAGGCAGTTTATTAGGTTTAGAGTGTGTCATGACTTCATCTTCAGAAGCAGAGCTTGTTGAATCTTCTGCCATGTCGGAATCACTTTCAGTGCTAAGATCTTCATCATCTGCACCCAGTATGTACGCCACACTGTTTTTAGGCATCTCAGGCTTTATATCAGCTCTCTGTTCAGACCTCAGTGCTGGCAGTGAGTCATGTTGAACAGTATCTGCATTTTGCTGCATTGTCTTCTCATTAGGAGAGCTGTCACTGCTCTGCCTCTTACAAATCAACGAGGAATCTTCTTGGATAAACTCAGAGTCTGTACAGTGTTTCTCTGCATGCTTGTTCAGCTCCCAGACATTGCTGAAAGACTGATGGCATTTGTTGCAGACAGGTGGCAGATGCGCATTATCCAAGTGTGTAGAGAGTGACATCAGGCGACGGAAACTAACCTTGCAGATGTGGCATGTGGCTTTGGTATTGTGGCTTTTATAATGTGAAATCAATTTCTTTAAGTTGTGGATGTTCTGCCCACATTCCCAACATTTTGATACCAGGTGCACATCTTCGTCGCTGCTCGAGTCTACTGACATAACAGTCTGTGAATTTTGAACAGAAAAGACAAAAATCAGTTGAAATAGTCCAGAATATAGCACCTTGTTCCTGCATTTACTTTTATACCTGTGGCCCCAGAGAATGTGGACAATGAGTGGACTAAACATTCTGACATGGTTTGTAGTGATGCACTTTGGTTCGCTCAGAGTTCTCTTTAATTGGGCTTCTTCTGTTAGCCATTTAGCATGAAACCAAATCATGGGGAAAAGCTACAAGTGTACCAACTCATCAACTGATTCGGACCAGAGAAAACAAACCACAGGTGTGAACATGCTCCTAAGATTTACAAACACTGTCTGAAATGGCTCAAAAACAAATGGTTGAACCAGATTTTCTAATGAACCATACGTTGGTGAATAAAAGATGGACCGATGGCTAGCTCACAGCACATCAGTGACCGTGAGCTAAAGTTCAGCCTCACACACCTGCTCACATGGCTGCAGGCTTTTCGTTTGTATTTATGATGTGTGAAGACATAAAACATTGTATAGAAGAGACAGAAAAATACATCAATAAGACACTGAAATATTAACCATTGATGAGGCCACAAGATTAGAATTTTTACAGTAGCCATTTTAGTTTTTTGAAACCAGACTGATGTGAAATGGTAAATGTTAATGGCACTAATGGAAACCAGAATTAACTAAATTAACTTTTTTTAAAATCAGGTGATTTGCCCCCTGTTGGCCATTAGATGAGATGGTTCAAGGAATGATTAAGGAACTTTAGCACTGGCTTCACTTTTCAGAACCGGAAGCTACATCTATCTTTTTTATTCAGTTAAAGAGCTTCTAATATGTCAAAAATATAGTGTATAGTTTTTCAACCTTATTGTAAAGCAAAGCTGCCCAACCTTTAAAGTATTTGTGGCATTTTTTTTTTTATTTGCACAAGTTGGTAGTCTGTACTTGCAGTTTTATGCCCTAATGGAATTAAAGTTAGTTAACCAACTTCCATGCTTTATTTCAAGAAGAGCGCGAACCCTAAGGTAGTCAAGTGGCAATCTGTGAGGCAGAAAAATTAAGTCGTCATGGAAATGCTAAAAACTAAAGTTACTCTTGTTGCCAGCTGAAACTGGATTTTTTTTAGATCCACTTTCCAAACACTCTGGTATTAAAAGTCCTAAATTTGTTCTCAAAAGACAGGTAGAGAAAAACTGTTTCGACTTCCATTAGTTCCCCTGTTTACTGCAACTCCAAAATAATATGAATATTTTTGTAACTCAACATCGGGTGGAGCTAGAACAGGCATCTGCTTCCACATCCATCTTTTACGTGCAGTCTATTGGCTTCCACAACTAAATAAGTTAATAATAAATTAATATTTATAACTGAACAAACATTTAAATGTCATCTACATAGCTTAATATCTGTTATTATCTGGAAGCTTTGTTGTTGAGTAAACCAAGGTCTTGGCTAGAAAAAAAACCCAAAGCAAAACAAACACAAAGAAATTAAAATCACCCCCTAAAATTCAAGATATTACCTCTCTCCTGTGATGCTGTGACAAGTATGCACTTTTTCAAAGTACACAGGTTAATAACAAAAATAAAAACAATTCAATAAAAATTTTCAATACTTAAAATAAACATACTTTGTTTAGTAATGACTACTCTTCTCAGGCATCCACACTCTAGTATCACAGTGCCACTTTGCCATTGAACTATCAACATTTGCTGGAAGAAACAACACACGTTCTCTCTTGTGGCTGACTTAATACTATACTAGATGCACTTATCCCGTCCACAAATACCGGTAACAGCAGACGGTTCGTGCAACTCATTTACTGTGAAAATATAAGTAGCTTAACTTGGTATAATGAGCAAATCCAGCTGTAGGTGGGATAAAAAACAGGTCTCCATATTTCAAAGAGAAAAAGAACAATTCACTTTTACCTCGGGAAATCCTCCTGTCCTTTATGGCGTCCAAGATCGCTGTTCCGAACTCATCTACATCCGGTTTGAACCGGAAGAGATGAGCCTCCATCTCCCACAATGCATCGATGTGCTTTACCCACTGAGTGGACAAGCCAAGGCAACTCTAAATTATTCTTACTATAAATATAAATATTTTGCAGCTTGCTGCTGCAATTTTTAATCTACAGATTTATTAAAAAATAAATCTTTAATGCAAAGCGATCTCATGCTAAATTGCTAACAGAAGAAGCCCATTATTTATTTTATTTTATTTCATTAATTTTTATTTAAAGAAAATTATGAGACACCTTACTTTTTTTTTCTGAAATCAAGCTTATACACTAAGAAACGTATTCCCCTGCATCTTCTAAATATCTCTTTTTATGCATATATGTTTATATGCATTTTATATTAAATAAGCAGAGTGAGTGGATGCCTGAACAATGGAGAAGATTTGAAGAACCCTGGTGATGTTAGAGCTGTAGTAACTAAAGAGGGATAACGCTTATACCAGGAAGATATGGCAAATAGTATTTTAAGCTGGGTTAAGAAGAGAAGTGATGGTCAGTGAGCGGAAGTAATAATTTATGCATAGAAGGAGCACTACAGATGTGATGTTTGCCTAAAGGGAGGGTGTTACAGCAAACAAGAGGAATGAAAGTTTGTAGAAGCAAGATGGAATTCATGTTCGAAAGAGCGAGAGGCAGGTGTAAGAGTGCAAAGTTGCAAAGAGTAGAGGTAGTCAAGGTAGATGAGCTTAGATATTTGGGGTCATCCATCCAAAGTAAAAGACAGTGCACAAGAGAGGTGAAGAAGAGAGTGGAGTGAGACAAGTGTCAGGCGTGATTTGTGTCAGAGAGAGGGCAGCAAGAGCAACAGGGAAGTGACACCTGTCATGATGTATGGCTTTAAAAAAAGAAAGACAAATAAGATAAATGAACCAAAACAGTTAAACAATGTGAAGCAAAGGAGAAGATCATAAAGATAGATTTTCCTTATTCATTTATAATATTATCCTTCCAGATGTGTTTAGATCAGTGTCATATTAAAACAGTGGGAGTTTTTTTTATCACTAGTTGAAATTGAGATTGTGCTGCAAGTCCTTGACGATAAATAGATTAACTTTATAAATTAAACAATTCAATAGATTTTTTGGCTAGGAGCTGAGCATGCCGTTTTTCTTGTTTTTTTTATGAAGAGAGAAAAACAAAACAAAACACAAAATACTGCGGGTTTACTTAACCCGAGATCAATCCAAATGAGTGCATAATTAAATAGTCGAAGTCAAGTTTTATTCAAATTTTTAAAAATGTGACTCTTTTTTGAAATATAGATTAAAATGTTCTTGTGTAACAGCTTTATCAGATTTAATTCATTCATTCATTTAAAAATGAAGTCAAGTCAATAAAGTTTAATTTGACTTTGACTTGACTTCATTTTTAAATTAGGATGAAACTATGAAAAAAATCTGTTATACAGCTTTCATTACTGGGGAAATTTCAGATTTCAAAACAATGATTAAAACTAATTATATTATATTATATTATATTATATTATATTATATTATATTATATTATATTATATTATATGTGTGATAAAATAGTTCCTGACAGGGGAACTAGTCATGTTTTAACTGTGTTTCAAATCGACTTCTTTTACATGACGAACAAGATGCATTTGTTTTGTACAAAAGAGATTTCCAGGCGGGTGGAACATTATCGCTTTCCTTATCCGTTCAGTTGAACCGTACACGGCAAACGCCAAGCCACGAAACAAACACTTCACCAGGAAGTCTTGGCTAGCGTTGTTTATAACCACCGTTAGGGTTGACTTATAATGATAGCTTCTAGCTAATTTTTACGTTTAAATGTTAACGATATTAAAAGCCATACCTTGAGGTGTCGGTATTAGAGGTCTGTCTTTTAGGAAACAGAATTTTAATTATAAATAATAGCTTTATCTCGGCTCTACTACCCGTCGTTTACAAGCTTTCTGTAAACATCAGCTGTTCCAGGTGAGTCGCGATATGTCCGAGTCCGGTCACAGTCAACCCGGCATGTATGGGCAAGGGCGCAGGAGGAGGCGACGCCGAGGGGACAGAGATGTTGGCCCTCCGGGGCAAAATCTGTCCGGACCCAGTCGAGATCGGGATTACCAACCGAGAGAGCGAAGGGTACTTCAAACGATATACTGCTTTGGCCTCTAATTTTATCTTCTCTACATCAAAATACTTACTCGAATCATTTTCTTTCCAGGATGGAAGCGAGGATCCACCAGGTCCTCTAATTCAGAAGACCCCCATCATTCTTGCAAAACCTCCCGGAGAAAGGGTAGGTGGGCTTGTCTTTGAGACCACAAACTATAGTCTACAGTTTAAATTTGTGAGGTATCATTTTGCTTACCCTAACCGAATAGGAAGAATAGCCACAATCAAAGAATATTCACAATGCCAGAACAAAACGAGCCGTGCTTGTTTGTGCTTACGAAGCACTTCCATCTCCAATTCGTGCTGTTGTTTATATATTCTAAGGCTAAGCCCTCACAAAATACACCTGTCAGTGGAACACCAGTCCTTGAGAAGCCCATCATGCTAATGAAGGCCAGGGACGATGGAGTGAAGCCAGGGACACCTACTGAGTCGGCTGCACAGTCCTCTGGTCCACCCTCTAAGATAGAGAGGGAAGGGCAGCGACCTACTCAGCCTGTATACCAGATCCAAAACAGAGGAATGAGTGCTTCTGCATCGAGCAGTGCATTGGACCGTGAGTTGTTATAGACTCTACAAAAAGACATTTTATTTTCTTCTCCAAATTCAAAAGTATGTTCATGTGCAATAATTAAGGCCACAAGCTTTCATGTGACTTCCAGCCATGGTTGGGCAGTCCAAACTCCTTCCTCCGGAGAAAATGAAGCACAGCATTAAACTGGTGGATGATCAGATGAATTGGTGTGACAGTGCCATGGAGGTAAATTCATAGCATTTAATACATTTAGTTGATTTTGCAGATTTAAACAGTGCTTTCAGTTTACTTTATGATATGTGATCAAAGGAAACTGAGTGATGTTGTTGTGATGTGTTGCAGTATTTGAGGGACCAGACAGACATGTTGGTGGTGGGAGTTATTGGCTTGCAGGGAACTGGGAAATCCACCATCATGTCGCTGTTATCTGCCAACACTCCTGAGGAAGATCAAAGGTAAGGTTAAAGAATAAGATCAAGATGTAAAGTGTTCTGCACTACACACACTACTGAGGTTTTTGCAGACACATGACAACTAAATATACGGTGTTCAGTTTGGACCTGGGACAATCATGCTGATGGGTTAGGATGAAATGAATGGGACACCAGTTAGAGACCATTCCACACCTGTATAGCAACCACTGGGAAAAATCTGTATTTCCTGGATGGAGGTTGGCGGCAGTTGCATTGAAATGATTGCCAAAGTTTCAGTTACACCGGACTAGATACTATTTCATGACTTGCATTTAAAAATTTGGAGTCCCTGATGGTTTGGCAAAAACCTCCTTGTTGAGCAATATCCGCATGACTCACGTGAGAAATATCAGTAGTGTTTTGGTTTGGGCCAAACTCATGCACATAGGCTTAACTGGTGATTTTTAAATTGCAGAAGATTTGAAATGATGAAAGTGCTTAATTACACAAAAAGACAGGAAAAAGGTCTTTGGCTTGTCTTAAAGCACGCTGAGTGGTCACTGATAATAGAAAAGTACTCTATAATTGCCATTCACTTAAATTGATCCAACACACAAACTGTAGGGAACGGCGATGTGATGGCTGAAGCTCAAGAGATGGCGCATTTCATTTACTATTTAGAAGGTTATTGGTTTAAACCCTAGGTGCTCCAGTCTGCATGCCAAATATCCTTGGGCAACAAACTGATTCCTAAATTCCTCTCCGATGCATCCATCAGAGTGTGACGCACATAACCCAGGAGGTGCCCAGGAGGCACTTTCCCTTATTCAAGTGAAATGCCTACTTAAGTTAAGAGGGAATGAGGTAATACAACCGTAGAACTTGTCTGAATACATTTTATCCCTCCCATCAAAACGCAGAACATCTAGTTCCCAACCACTGAGCCGTGGCACATAGGTGTGTCGTGGAAGATTATGTGGTTCCACTCCTGCAGGGAAAAATTATCAATATACTTTTTGTAACATTTTGTTTGGTGGTGTGCCATGTGATTTTTCTAATATGAAATATACTCAATATAATACTCTATATTTGTCTGATAATTACAGATGCATTTCTTTTTTAAAGGATCAATGCGAGTACTTTAATAATTAATTTGAGAAAAATCACTTGAACAGTTCTTTGGAGGTGATATTGAATAAAAACGTGTGTTTATTTGAACAGGAGTTTTGTATTCAGACCCCAGACTCAAGAAATCAAGGAAAGAGGTGGAAATCAGAGCACAGGGATTGATTTCTTCATCACACAGGAGAGAGTTATCTTCTTGGATACGCAGGTGTGAATGAAGTATTGTGATTAGAAATGACAGTTTCTACGGTTTACTGTAGTATTGTCTTTTTGCTGTCAGAATGTAAGTTGGTACAAACTGTCTGTAATGTTAACCTTGGAACTGCAAGATGTCTAACTGTGGTTAAGGATTTGTTGTGCTGAAGCAACAACATGTTTCACTGTGTTTAAATGTCATTCTTCAGCCAATGCTTAGCCCATCAATTCTGGATCATCTTATCAACAATGATCGGAAGTTACCTCCAGAATACAATCTTCCTCATACATATGTTGAGATGCAGGTATGTGGCTGGCCTGCGGAGGACAGTATATAATAATATGAATGCTGGTGCTAAACACCTGTGAACTTTAGTTTTGGGATTCATTGTTTGATGTTGGTTTAGTGATCGTATTTATTCTTTTCTACAAATAAAGCATGTTTGTACTCTCTGTATAATTCTTCTACAGTCTCTTCAGATCGCTGCCTTCCTGTTTACAGTGTGCCATGTTGTAATTGTGGTTCAAGACTGGTTCACTGATTTGAACCTTTACAGGTAAGTATTTTAGGTCTGCGATGGACCTGTGCTCTCAAGATGGTTGTGATTATAATTTTAAAGCCCAATACTCTCAAAGGAATGCTGAACATTTCATGCTATATCTTAAAAGGATATTTGTTTTTGCTTTTTCATAAGCTCAGCAATGTTGTTCTTTCAGCCAGTCTGACATTTTAAACAGGCAAATCCAGACCTGTGTAAAATGTCAGACTCCATGCCCATCTAACATGTGCTGACATTTATTGCCTTTTGTACGCCACAATCCATTTGGATCAGTTCATGACTCATTTTCTTCACACAGCATAACAAACAATCTGAGCAACTCTGGCTATGTGATTAAAAACCTTTTCCCTTTGCATAGCATTCTTGCCTAATGCTGAAAATATTGCCATTAAAAGCTAGTTTTCACTGGCTTTGTACATAGCTTAAAATGATATCTCTGTAGTAGAAAGCTACAGTTTTAATCAGCACAAATATTGATATGATTATGTATTGTTTTGGCATCCTTTGGTGAAAAATCAATGTCAGATTACCAAACAATGTTTTTTACCAGGGTTACCAAGTAGCATCTCACATTGGCACAGCAGGAAAATGGCAGATTCTGTATATTTACATATGTAACTATCCAAGCAAATTTTACCTGTACTCTTTCCACTCAGTAAAATGATCTAATTCTCATTATTATTGCTTCTTGTGACACAAATTGATTCCACAGCTGAAGTTATGTTATGGTGTCACCTTTATGGACAGGTTTCTTCAGACTGCTGAGATGCTGAAACCTTCCACACCATCTGCAAGCCACGACAGCACCGGCTCTTCAGGCAGTGATGACGGAGCAGAGTATTATCCACATATAGGTGGCTGTTTAATGCTGACGCGCTATATTTGACACACAAACCAAATTTAAGCATGTCAAAGTTTAAATTTCTTTCTCCCCCAGTTTTCCTCCAGAACAAGGCCAGACGGGATGATTTCTGCCCAAGAAATCTGAAGAACATGCATATGGTGGTCGACAAATTAATGGCTCATTCTCACCTCAAATACAAAGGTGCAAAACTACAACAAATTTCTCTTTATGTTAATGTTTTATGTGTAAGTAGTAATGAATGCCAGTAAGGGAGCTGGTAGGAAAAAAATGAATGTGATATGGTGGCAAAAAAAAGTTAAGTAAATGCTAAGAAATTATCTACATTTAAAGTACTGTGCAAATCTTGAGTCACCCCTCAAAACATGAAAAAAAACATGAATGGAAATGCAGTGTATAAGGAAAATACGAAACTTTAAAGTCAGTATTTGGAATGACTACTTTTTCTCTCCTGAACTCTCTTAGGAAAGCTTTGTTATTATTTCTTTAAGCAGTCTTCAGGAACTGTTCTCCACATTTATTGAAGGACAGTCAAAACTCTTCTTTCGACGTTGGCTGCTTTTTGTTACATTTTCTATGGATGATTGCAAACAGTTTTAATTATTTTTGATGTCCAGGTTCTGGGGAGGCCAATCCATGACTGATATAGGGCTGGGCAATATGAGGAAAATCTATATTGTGTCATTTTTTTTACTATATCAAGATACATGATATATATCGCGATATGTTTAAATAACCTCCAAAACAAGTGTCATTTTCAATCATGTGCCAAAAATGACACTGGTGTACTCATTTAAATTTTTTCTACAAAGAATCTGAATGAATTGACATGTTTTATTTTAACAGTAACCATCAGTTTCATACAGGGATTTTTCACAAATGACTATGCTGTCACAGTAAGTCTCTTTCTGTGGTCAACACTAGACCTTTAACAAATAAAGATCATAGCAACACAAAAAACTTTGAGCAATAATTCACGAGACAAAACAACTGAAATTAAAAAGGTGCTCCTTTGTACTTTAGAACATATAAAAAAATGTGATGACCTCAAATTATAGAGACAAAAGTCTACATAATGACTATAAAAACGACTGACCAAGAACAGTCACTGTTATCACAGATGGTTTATTTGAGGTTTTCTTTGGTGTGGGTAGACGTTGACATGCAGAGTTTAAATTGGTCTTAATTTTGAAGTTGAACTTGTGGTACTGATACCTTTAGGGGCATAATTTTACAGCATGTTTCGCAAATTACCCCATTTTGTTTGGCATCCTCCTTGTGAAAGTCAAGCAATAGTGAGTCTCATTCCCTCGCTCATCCGATACTCATGCTGTTGCTATTTTTCCTTATCCAGGAGTATATAGAGACATATCCTCAACGCAGTTGCTGGGTAGAAGAATTTCTGGGTGGGGGGTTTATAGCGCCCACCCCCAGACTGATAGTGTTCCTGTGAGTGTTTTTCTAGCCAGGTATGCTTTCATGGCATTGACAGTGTGTTTGGGATCATTCTCCCATGATCAATGTCAAAATTAATCCTTTTCTGCATTCATAACTCTATCAACACCACTGGCTGAAATACCTCCCCAAACTATGACCCTCTACCATGTTATACAGATGGCTGTAGACAATCACTGTTGTGCCTCTCTTCTGACCTCCATACATATCACTGATGATTTAACCCAAAAGTTCTAAATGTGCATTCAGGAGTGGTAAAAGGCTCCATCAGGTTTATGGTGTTTCTAGATGAAAACCTTTTGTTTGCTTTGTACTTGTGAGCAAAATGATATTTTGTGACTGTTCAAAGGTTTTTAGTGAATGTGTTTGGTTTTGTAGTCCTGTAAACAAAGCATCACTTCTGAAGTGGATTAACAGGCTGGCCACAACTATAACATGTGTTTTATTCTCAGGAACATTATCCATGCTCGACTGCAATGTCTTCCCAGGCCTGGGGCAGGACTATCTGACAACCGAGGTCAATATGTTTTTGCTTCCTGTGCAGGAAAATGACGGGGAGGATAATTTGACCAAAGCAGGTTACAAACATTTATTCTTCTCATAAGGTAAAACTCAAGTGACCTCTCGTGTGTTGTGTGAAAAATAAATGAATCTTTGTACGTTGTTTAGGGTCAGGAACGTACCCACTGTTCTCTCTGCTCCCCGGCTATAGAGGACACCCGGCCTTTTCCACCATGGTTTCAAAACTCCGCAGCCAAATACTGGCCATGCCCCGCTGTCAGCTGTCACACACTATTCTCACTGAGAAAAACTGGTAAACATCATATCAGTACTATTTATTTATAAATGAATAATTATTTTATTCATATTCCACTATTCAAAAAGTGTAGGTGACTAATCCATGGTAAAAAAAAAGTGAGACAACCAAGTAAATACATCCTGCACCCAGGGTGAGAATCAGTTTTATGTTTTAAACTGGTTTGCTCAACAAAGCCATCATAAATGTCATTGTTTTTGAACTCTCATAGAAACAGTTTTTAATCCCTGTGGAAGAAATGCAAAATATCTATTAGAGATGAGGGGTCTCTCTGCTTCCCTTTACTTTCAGTGACTACAACCTGCTGTCTTTTTGTTTTGTTTTTTGTAAACAACAGAAAATGAGCGCTGGTGGTTTGTTGTGAAATAGTTTTCTGAGGTGCAACTTGCTGCATGTACCTACAAGCACAAAACTTTCAGAGTAGTGAAAAATATTTCTTGCTGTGGGATATCAGGTTAATTTTTTTCTGAACATGCTTAAAACAATATCAATTGAAAATGAAATACTACAGTGAAAAGAAACATATTTCCATGCCATATAAAGAAAGTAAAAGTGTTAATAATTAAGGTTGGTGCAGAAATGCATACTATTTGGATTTTTTTCTTCTTTGTACTATGTCACTGTAATTTTGTGAAATCTTGAGACATTATTGGGATTTCGTTTAAGTTTATCCCTCTGTTTCCTGTCTTAACTTTCTTTGTTTTCACAGGTTTCACTATGCAGCTCGTATCTGGGATGGTGTGAAAAAGTCCTCTGCCCTCTCTGAATACAGTCGTCTGCTCTGCTGACACGTGTTTAACTGCTCTTATGTACAGTTTTATTTCACTGATCAGATCACACAAAGACAAAAGAAGTGCAGCTGAATGGGATGTTGAAAAAAAAAAAACATCACTGGGACATAAAATAAATATAATTATTCAGACTTTGAGTCCTGCTTTTTCTATAGTGTCCTGGGACTGTCCTCAGGAATTCTGATAGTTACAGCCTGTGCAGAGGTGGTGAGCGGGAAAAGAAAGTGTCTTCTCTCAGCACATGTCTAATAAAAATGCGAGAATAGTTTTTAAATTCAAGTCATTCTTGACTGTGTTTCAGTTTTGATGCACTGATACTTAACATGTTTTATAAGGTGAAAATACAGATTTCTGTCTTGTTATTACCTTTGTAAAAAGTATGGTAAAAATGAAAGAGAGAACTGGTGGGCCTGGTTTTTTAAAGATACAGTATATGTTGTATTGTAGAATGCATGTAGCATGCATCACAGTCAGTTTTTTTTTCATTCAGTGCCACTAGAGTGGTTGCATGGTTAAAACATACTCTGCTGACAACTGAAACAGTCACTGGTTATCAAAGAAAAAAAAAAAACAATTCACGTCTGTTCTAAAAGAAAATGATTTGCAGCCTAAATGCAGCCTAAACATATTTTAGCAATAGAATGAAACGACTTTAAAGAATATTCCATCAAATATATGATACAAAAATCAGCAATTTAATAACACTAAAACTTCAGCTATGAATAGAAGCATATATATAGCCACCTGTCATCAATACACTGATACAAAAATCAATAAGGCATTTTATTATCACTCAAACTTCAAACAAATAAACAAACTGGAACTAAACAGGTTTTTAAACTAGTTTTAATAGATATTATTCTTCCTCATACATATGTTGAGATTCAGGTATTCTATGTTATTCTATTTTAACTTTGGAGAATTCTAACTAATACCAATTTAATTATCTAGATATAGGTTCTATGAAGTCTATTCATATATACATATATGCTGTTTCAAAGGCTTGTTTTTGATAGTCAGGTTCTTTCATTGTCAAAGGAGGAGTTAAGGAGTGGTCACAGCAAGAAGACCACTTCCCCCCAATAAGAATTACTTATAAACTGAACAGAAACTAAACAGAAATTCACTTCTATCTGACCATCACACAATGCAGATCTTTGTGCTGATCCTTGGGATTGTGCTGCTCCCTAAAGGCAAGTTTTTGTTCAGTTATCTGTTCTTTAACATTTTTAAACCAGCAAGTTCTGTAATATTCAATGAAATGTTTTCTTTTTTAATGCTTTTACAACAAGTGTCATTACATCTTAGTAAAGGTTTGTCAATTCTACAAATGATTGCACTATTTATTGTACTGTTAGCCATCTATTTTTCAAACTGTTTTAGTGAATGTTTTAGAATATGTCTATGCATTGGAAGCAAGAGAAAGTTTACTTGTCTTTATCTTTGTTTTATCAGCCTGTGCTTTGAAATGTTACGAATGCATACCGGACCTCTCTGGAAGCTGCGCTCAGACAACAAAAGAATGCCCTTCCAACACTCAGTGTGCATCAGTCAGAATAGCTTCATACGCAGGTTTGATTTTGTATAGCTTTTATTTTATTCTTCTTTTAAACTGGTTCAGTTTTCAATGGTTCGTCTTTTTGTTGCAGGTGGTTCAAAACTGGTTGATATTAAAGGTCAAAGTTGTGCTGCGGCTGAGGAGTGTGTTCAGGCCTCAATCAACTTTGGAGGCGCCCGAACTCTAATTACCAGCAAGTGTTGCACCTCTGATCTTTGCAACTCTCAAGATGCCCCTGGTAATTTCTATCATGCTTCTTGGTATTTTGAAATGTAATTTCCTGTTCTTGAAACTTAAAAAATAAAAAATCTTTTTATCAAATATGTTGAGAAATTTTAAAGTGGGTCAATTGTCGTATTTGCTTGAATAGATCAGGGCAAAATAATCAATCTGTGAAAATTTCCTGATTGAAAATTCTCAAACAAACATATTAGTAACATATTGTTTTCTGTTGGGTTTTTTTTCCAAGCTGATGTTTTTGGCACACAGTTACAGTTTTTTCTGATTGCTTAAGCACATTTTTT